AGCAGTGGAGAGGAAAAGAAAGTAGAGGTGTTTGAGTGCATGGTGAGGGGACAGTTTTGGAAGCCTAGATATTATTGATATAAACAGCCACCTCCCCCTACAAGTAGCAGAACTAGAGGGATTATTTTATCTTTCATCTGAAAGGCCACATCTACTATTTGCAAGGCTGAACCCACACAGGTTCACTTCCTTTTTCAGTTTGAGAATAAGACAAATATTAGATACCAATATTATTGGTATGTGCTCTCATGATACAAGTGATGTCTCGTACACTGCAATTCATCTGTGCCATGTCTGCTGAGATCACTGGGAGCTGTGTGCGCCAAATGAAGCTTGTATATTTTATATTACAATATCACCTCAGATTTTATGTTATATACATTTTAGGTTTATATAGGATATATTATAAAATTATACCTGTGCTAAACCATTCAAATAATATGATCACTATTGTTGTTTTATTATTGTTAACGGAACTCGACTCTACAGAGGTCTAATACCCATAGGTGGTTATTATCACTTGTAGAAGAGGGCCTCATTTCAAATTCTGACCTATGTCACAACTCAAATGTGTTTCATCTCCTCCAAATCCATCCTAGACATTTGTCCATATTACAAAACCACCATACAGCTTGGCATATTTCACTGTCTGTGGTCAACCCTGGAATTGCAGAGCTGTTGCAGTTCACTGGGAGTGTTGTGTAAGAGGCTTACGCAGAATCTGCCTTGCTCCAGTGTGTAATATTTACCCTTATCTTTAATGAGCATCAACGGCACACAAGTTTGGAAAAATGAATTAGTATCCACTATAGGATGGGACTGTACTGCCTTGTGGCTGCAATGTTTTTTCAATTAACTTCTCTGAACATTCTGCAGTGAAAAGTGACAGCTTTTTGCCTCAAAGGCCTGTAATTAGATTAAATGAATACAGTTAATTGTCTACCACCTTCTTTACACAAAACAATATGTTTCTCTAAGAACATTCATACATCAAGGAAATTGCTGTGTACTTCAATTCATGTGCATACAGTTGTAGACAGTGTTAATATATGACAATGCAATGTAGGGGTTTTTTTTATCTTTAGCACACTACACTTATTTTCTGAGAGTACAAAATTAATATGTATCGCATCCTCTATAGAATGTCTTGGATGCCAGGACATCTTTAGGTAAAAATAACGAATAAATCATAGCATGATGACAAAAGGCCTAAATTTTGTTTTTCTATTTATATTTTTCATACAAACACAATAATAAAGAGATTTCAGACAGCTCAGTTCATATACTTAAAAATGTGCCCCTTGGGATTATAAAATATTCAGATTTAAGCATTATTTTATTTTACTTTTGGTTTGTGAATGCATTTGTCCTTTTGAAGGGTTGAAAACAAATCTAGCCTTTATTATTACCAGCTCAATTTCTAGGCCTGGTTGTGTACTACTTAGTGATTAAAAAACCCCCACCTCATCTGCCTTTTCTTCACCACCTCTAAATGAAAACAAGAGTTCATAATGCAGAATTTATCACCAGCCATTCACGTATCCTTCCTTGCCTGCCTGATTTCGAACCGAGGGGACTGAAGCTACAAAATGAGGCTACATCACCTCTGCAGTAAGGTACCTGGAGGAGGAAAGGCTCGTTGAGTTGATGCGAGCAGGGCCTGTATTGCTATGTTTACATCCCAGCAAGTAATCTGCACTCTCTGCTCAGAGAAAGCTTAATTTAAGGATTGGCTGCAGCCTATTCTGAATATAACCCTGGTGTGTATTCTGTATTGCCCCCAAGTTTCACAGGGTGTAAACTCTGGCAAGAACTTGTGCACAAGTGTATGAATCCTCTGAAAATCTTCAAGCAGAAGCTTTTCTGAGGTTTGTTATTGTGCAAATCTTTTTGCCCGCATGGAGAAAACTATGAGTAAAATATCATTTTGTTGCTATTAACCTTCACACAAGGAACCAACAGAATCATGATGTCACATGAATGCTTCCTGCATGTCTGGCTTGCAGAATACAGCCCAGAAAGCACCGATATCTTGCTTGCCACAATCTAGTAAGAAAAATCTTCCCAGTGGTGCTGTTAATTAACTGTTTAGTGACAGCCGAGCCAAACAAAAACGTCTGGTGTTTTCCAGCAGGAAAACAAGATTTTGATTCAAAATACTTATTGACTCAGTGTAGTGACATGCCTCTTTATTTCTACTCATAGTAGGAAAAAATCCTTACTGATAGAGGAACAAAGAAATGCAATTGGAAACCCAGTTCAGTGGTTTTCTACATCCTTGGCTTTCGGCTGATTTTAAATATTTTTTTTTCAGGGGAAACATACCTCTTTTTGGCAGTGCTGCACTTACTTGGCTAGTGCTGATTGGATAGACTATGTAAAATGGGATTGGGGCTGAACATTGTGTCCCATATGTTCTAAATTAAATGAGTTTTAACACTATCCCCTTCACACTTGCCTTCCCCCTCTTCATTTTGATTCTTTCTGTGGTTCAGAAGCCATTTTATATAAGGCAGGTGACAAAATGCATCCACCTCACTTGTGCTTTCGCAGGTGCCGGGATCATACTCCTGTTTTTCTCACGTTACTTCTTACCTCCTCCTGGGAACAAACAGCCGAAGGCGGTGCCAGCGTTTCAAAATATCCAGCGCCCAAACTCTTGTCCTTGAAGTCGCAGTGGGTCCCAATGAATCAAAGAGGTTGTAGAAGCCCTGTCATTCGTCCCGGGGGGATGGCGGGAGCCTTTCCAAAAGGAAAGCAGCCCTGGAGAAACTTTCCTGTTTCTCAAGCTCTCCGAAGAATATCCCTGCCGAGGCTTGTCCTTCCAGCAGGGCTCCGGGCGTCGGGGCAGAGGCGGCACCTCCACCTCCACCTCCGCGCAGCCCCGCCGCCACCCTCGCCGCCTCTCCCCCGGGGAATGGCCATCCCCCAAAAATCAATTACAACCCCCCCCAAAAAAAATCAAAAAAAAAAAAAAAAAAAAAACAAAAAAAAGAAGAAAAAAAAAGCAACGTCAGAGAAAGATGCATCACCCCGGCCGACAAATCCGCCCTCCCCGGGGCAGAGAGGAGAGAGGCTGCCCCGTGCCCCAGGCGCGGGGCAGGGCTGGGCCCCCCGGGGACGGGCGCCGAGAGCCGGGCCCGCGGAGGGCACGGAATAAATAACACGAGACTGTTACTTCAGGCGCGTAAATTTAAAATATTTGGACAGGAAGAGAAAGGGGAAAGGAGACGAGCTAACGGTCCCGGAGCGGCGGGGCTAGCTCGGCTCGGCTCGGCTCGGCTCGGCCCGCCGGGCCCCGGGGGCTCCCGGCCCTGCAAAGCCGACATCTTGAGCGGGGCTCCTTTCCCCCGTCGGGGCCGCGGAGCAAGGCCCGGGGGCTCCCCAAGTGCCCTCTCCCTTCTTGCACGCGGCAGGGTTGCGTGCTCCTGTCGGCGGAGTGCAGCTGCGGCGGCGGGGCACACTCCCCTCCGGGCTGCGCAGCGCGTTCCCGGCACACCTCGAGCACCGCAGGCCCCTCTGCTCCGAGCACCAGCTCCTTTCTCGCCCTGCCACCCCCCCCGCTGCGATATTTCGGGTGACATCGACCAACCCAGGCTGCATTTTATTGTTTTTATTATTTTTTTTTTTTTTTGCTGCTGTCAAGCTCCTCGGAGAGAACCGCACGAATTGTTTCTAAAACCCACATTCAATTAGCAACGTCTCTGCTCAGCAGAGAGATCCGCGTTCCTACTGGAAAGGACTGGAGTTTTTTCCACCGGCTGCAGAAAAGGACCCCACGTTTCCTCCCCTTGCAGCCCAGGTCCTGGCACTCCCTGGCCCCTTCGCGAGGGGCGCCCGGGCTTCTCCAGCCTCTCCGCCGCTGCTGGAGCCCGGGGAGCAGCTCTCTGCTTGCGAAGTTGCAGAATGAGAGATTGAGATAATTATCTTACTTCTGGGAACTGCTCAGAGTGAAATGTCAAATTATTAATTAAAGAAACACACCAACCCCCAAACCCTTCATTTTTCAATGCAGGAGGGGGTAGTACTTTGTTCGTACACACTATGAAGTGGAGCTCGGGCGAACTGGAAAACACCCGTGTTGGAAGAAGGGATCGGAGGAGGGCTGTAACCGGCTCCTGAAGGCAGCGGCACTAGGTTTGGGATCCCGCTAATTAAACCGCGATTCGGGCTGGATGGGCATGAAGCTTGCACAGCTCCAGAGGCCACACCCGGCTTGGGCCGGCAGGTGGGCCCGGGGGAGGTGTGACTCGTCGCCGGACGGGAGGCGCAGGGCGCGAGCCCACGACGGGCCCGGCCGCGGGCCGCGGGGCTGCCAGGCGGACGCTTCCCTGCAAGGAGCGAAGCACGAGCTCAGGGCTCAGTGCTTCGGGCCAAGGGAGAGGGCTGTAAACACAACCAGGAAGTGTGGCTTAGGTCCTGTCACCCAGCTGCCCCGTGCATCTTTTTCACAGAAGCTGGGAGGATTTTCCCATAAAACGCCCATCTCCTCCACCATCCTGCTGAGATAGATGGGCACGGACCAGAAGCAGGCCCTACAACGAGAATGAATGCACACGGCTTTGCATTACACAGAGATGTTTTATTGGCAGAGCAACAGCGTGGCCGCCGGTGTATAGTAGACATGCGATCAACAGTTTCACCAAACTTCTTTTCATTTTAAAACAATGGTTATTGATTTGGGGGAGGCCAAGACCTTTTGGGGAGAGTTAAAAACAATTTCAGCCCCGTATAATCCCCGCTCAAATTGTAGTGGAAGGTTATCTAGCAATCACACGTGGAGTTGATTGCATCTGAATGCAGTTAAAATGTTTCGAAAACTACAAATAGAACACTTCCCACTGCGGGTCCGACACAAACAGCGTCTCTAATGTTGGATGAGGCTCGATAGACTCAAGTCCCTCCGAGGCCCGAGGCCCCCACTTGCATCTATAGAAATAAGTGCATTTTGGTCTTATACATACTACCCACGCTGTTGTCACAGAATATACATTGCGTTTTAGGTGCAAGCGATAATATCAGAATTTTATTAAAAGAAAAAAAAAAAGTGATACCTTCTAAACTCGGTCGTATTCCAATATTCATGTTTTGTGAGAGTCCGCTACAATAAAATGGTTTATTAAAAAGAAAATAAAAAGCTGGTGAAAAGCAAGTATCTCTTAAACAGTGGCTACACTTCGTTGAGTCTGTGGACTGGGCATGTTCCAGTCTGTGCTCCAGCCCTGGGGAGGGCTTCCTCTGGCTCTGGGTTTGAACCTGGGAAATGGGCACAGCGAGTCTCTGGCAACCCAAAAGTCCACGATGCTGTTTGTGTTCATCTCCGAAGCAGGCTGGAGAAAGCTGAAATCCGCGGGGGAGAAGAGGGAAAGTAAGTATCTAAATTTAGAGAGCAAATTACCTCAGCAGAGCTCGTGTTAGTGTCAAAAGGCAGCTATTTCCCAACACTTGCAGGGCCGCATGGTCGCCGCAGGCCGGCAGGCCGGGTCCCGAGCGCCCTGTTCCATCTGAAACCAGACTTCAGACCTCGGGGACGAGTCTCCCACTAAGCAACGTCCCTCTGACAAACGTCAAATCCAGCAAGCAGCATCCTAGCTTATCGGTCCCTTAGGGATGACCTAACACACGTGCAGACGGTATGAAACGATACCGAGAGGGGCGAGCGCGTACACGCGGGGCGTGCCCCGCCGTGGGGGTGCCCGGGGCAGGTGTGATTTGAAAAGAAAATCCTGGGCTACAGAAATCCACCCGGCGGGCCAGGAGATTGACCCCGGCGGGTTTGCAAAAGGGAGAGAGAAATCTTGTTGTAAGAAATGCGAGTCCAACCCGAGGGGCCGCCCGAGCCCGAGCAGGATCCCCGCGTCCCTTTAATTCACGTCGGCGGCTTCTGCGCCCGAGGCGCCGGGCTCCAGCAGCTGCACCACGGCGGCCCGCTTGTAGAGGCGGGCCAGGTCGCAGGCCGTGTGGCCGCGCTTGTTGCGGTGCTGCACGCGGGTGGCGGTGCTCCGCACCAGGAACTCCACCACGCGCGCGTGGCCCTCCTGCGCCGCCAGGTGCAGGGGCAGGTTCCCCTCGTTGTCCTCGATGTTCACGTCGGCTTTGAACTCCAGCAAAGTCTGGAGAGTGTCCAGGAAGCCGGCGCGGGCTGCATCGTGGATGACCGCGAATCCGGTACTGTCTCTCAAGTTCGGGTCAGCGCCTTTCAGCAGCAGCCTCCGGGCAATTTCTGGGTTCCCAAGTTTCATTACCTATGGGGAGGCGGGGGAGGAAAAAACCAACAACAAAAAACCTCGAGTTTAAGAGTACCGGTTGTATCCAAACTCCTCCTTCCACTCGCTCCTGTCTCTGTCCCGGCGTGGTCCTGCTCCGCACCGGGTGGCAATAGGCAGGGCAGCCCCCTAGACCCTGGCAACCCTCCTTTCCCAATTTCTGCTAACCCCGGCATGACTCTAGATGATCTCATCATTTACACAGAAATAGCCTTTATCCCGCAGGACACGAGTGGCCAAAAGCAGCAGGTGAGATTAAGCATGCCTTTCTCTTGTTCAAATTAGCTGTCTCAGCCTCTGTATTTATGACAGGGAAGCGGCATCCAGTTCCACTTACCATCCGTGATGAGAAACCTTTATTTACTTGTTTAAACTCGTTAACTGTAACATGGATGGGGTTTTTTAAAGGATCTGATATTTTACACTGCAGTAGAAAATGTGGAGTGCCTTTCCCTAAATTCTCCAATTAATACTTACACTGTATTTTGCCAAAAATAACAAATTCAATTAAATAAAATAAATGTAAATGTGTGTATGCTCTGCCATAGACCTATTTAAAAGAGAAATAATCCTTCGAGATTTCCTGCAGGACCTATGCTTCATCGCCTGCTGCTCAAAATGGAGAACTCAGAAGCAACAATTCTGAAAGCCCACTCTTTCTCGTAAAACAAACGTCTTATCTCAGAGCTTAACTCGCATCTAAGCAACCCAGGACGGGGGCTGTTGTTTAAATCGCCCCTCCGAGAAGCGATCAGTGGTTCTGATGGGTTTTTTTATATACATGTAAAATTGATATATTTACCCTTGTTTGAGCACATGAAACCACTAGCACTGAGCACACGGATATATTGGGGTCTGACTGGGGGTTTAGCTAACTCACACAGATGCTCCAGGAATTCCCAAGAACTTCTTTTCCCCCCGGTCTTTCATAAAATGAGACTAATTAATGCACAGTTTTCCCCGTGCTGCGGACAGTGCTTTTTTTCGAGACTTTGCTGTCACAACTAAACGGTTTTATTATGAAAAACTGCTCTGAACAAGTTTCCTTTATTTAACATGTTAATTCTCAATCTTGAAAATCTTATTACGATTCTTTCTCTTCTTAGCATAAACAAGGATGACAGTTGCACTAAATTAAGCATAAATTACAATTTATAGAAGCCATGAATTGAAAACCTGAAGCTACTGTAAAAAATAATAATATGCATTTAGAGTTGGTAAAAAAAGGCATGCATAACACACATCATTGCTGCAGCATTTGGAAACTATATAGCAGCTTATCATGGTCTGTTTTAGGTGGGGACAAATAGACTCGGATGGTTTGGGGCTTGCAGAAAAGTATTTATCTGAGATAGTTTTGTGCAGGTTACCTGCCATTTCTTTTAATTCTGGATGGAGATTATAGAAGGTACATTTATATCTCAGGAAAATAAGTGCACAGCATTTTTAGTACAACCCAGACGTATTTGTTCGTGTTTTGTGAGCACCCAAGAACCCTACGAGGCTTGGGAGGGGGCTATACACGTGCAAGGGAAGCAAGGCAAGAGAGCTGGGGAAAAAAAAAAAGAATAAATCTCATGTACTTGGATTTGGGCTCTAACCCGAGCTGAGGCTGTAAAGTTTCTGTGGGGGGAGGGAATCGGGGCAGGAGAAAGCATTTGTGAGGAAGATGCATTAGCAGAGTCTGTAGCCGAGGCCTCCATGGGTTTGCCTCGTCAAACAGAAAAGCACAGACTCGAGGAAGACAATGCTGAATCGCTATGTTGAAACGAGCAGCAGGAGACAACGTGCGCTGTGCTCACTTTCATTTGGTGGACTCCAGAGCAAGTAATATCGAGGCTGCATCGACAGAAATCTTTCTTGAGCTGGGTCACTCACCCACAAAATGTTTCAGGATTATACAAACTGAAAACAAGTAGTCAGACTCCCCTGTTCTGATTGTTGTTGTGGTTCACTACATCGGTTACGATTCAGTTGCAATAAAAAGTGGGTGATAGTGCCAGGAGTCACAGGAACTGTAAAATATTCCCCAGTCCACATGCAGTGAGTGCTGATATTTGTAGGGAAAAAATATCTCTTTTGCACTGCAACTCAGATTTTCAGCCTCCTTTTGTGGATAAAAATCTAGATACAGGTTTCCTGCTTTCCTATAGCAGCTAGGATGGGTGTCTTTTCGAGTCACATTTTTCCTTTCCCTGCCAAGGTGTCCCCAGTGTCTGCAGTAAATCGCCTGTATCTGGGAGAATAGCGCAGGGACAATTTGACAGTCCTTGAATTTAAGAAAAAAAATGTAAAAAGGAAATCAAGGTTGTGTTCCTACAAGAGATTCTCATTCTCGAGACCCTACATTTTGATGATAAGCCAAAGTGAGTAAATAGCTGTCATTCGAGTTGCAATCCCTCTGTTGTTTGAAAACATTTCAAAAGTGCACACCGTTTTGTCACTTTTTAAAATAGAAACTATGTTTTAAAGTGTAAACTTCGAGAATAACCCCCCTTCCCCCCCGCCCACGGCTCTTATTTCACGTTCCCCTGCCTTGTCTGGCGTGCAAACAGCCACTCGAGGAGATTTCCCCTTCGGTTATCAATGGCTTGTCTATTTGGGGTGGGGGTTTTTTTTTGTGTGTGTGCCTCTCTTCCCTCATTTTCGTCTTCACTGTATGATAGTCTTAAAAGAATTAAAAAAAAAATCTGTCATCAGCCCCAGTGCTCAGGACTTGGATCAGCTCCAACGACTGTCTGCAAACCTCATCCCTGCAGATGCAGACCCACGGTCTTGCCCTGTCGGGCCCCTCCGCCCGCTTGGAAACCGGGGTTTGGACGGGGACCCCCGCCTGGCAGCGCCCGCGCGGGGCGGCGTGTTTGCCACGGCACAGAGGTCAGTGCTGGCTCGGCGGCAGCAGAGGAAGGAAAAGCCCCATCCCACCCCATGGGCGCGTGTCGAAAGGCACAGGGCGAAGAAAGAGCCCAGCGACCTCCGGAGAACAACCACGCCGTGTTGACAGACCTGCCCTGCCCTCCTCCCCCGCGGCTCTTACACCCGGAGCCCCGTTGCGAGCAACTCCGTGGCCCCCTTTTCCTCCAAGTACGCCATGCCAGGCAGCTGCAGCCACTCCAGGGATAAAATAAAGCAACCCCCCGCCAAAAAAAAGCCCTGAATGGGGGGGA